CTAAAAATATTGAAGAATGTAATACATAACTCATAATAATTTTAAGCTATAGTAATTTTAAAAATAATTTTGAAGTGTCTACATCTTGATCATCCTATATTAAAGAGGTCAGGTGTAAGGTCTCTTTCTCATGCTTCGTAATTTAATAGTTTACTCTTAAATAATTTATTATTTAAAAAAAAAAAAAAAAACTTATTAGTTGAAGATGAAGTTATGACATATTGAAAATATAAATAGTGTACACTAGATAGATGATACAGTCACCTAAACAGAATCCAAAATTTTAACTTAATGAATTCGATTTTTAAAGTTCTTAACGTTGAGTTCACTACAATTTTAAAATTTTGATTTATAATGTCTCTCATTAAAAACAAAAAGTCAAATTAGTAATGCTTGATTTTGTCAAAATATTGGAAAAGCTCAAAACGTATAAAACTTAGAAGTCATCATATTTTATTATAGTTACATCAGCCTGTTGGGATTCTTTAAATTTTATTGAAATTCCCTTTCACTATCTCACCGTTAGTTAAGAGGGATACAATAGGGGAATGTACATGTATTTTACAATTTTGGGGGAAAAGCTAATGACATTATTTTAAGTTACATTGTACTTTTTATTATTAATATTATAGTTGTGGTGTCTGAGTTAACTTGTTGCACCTCAACTAATTTCACAAAATACTAGGTCAAAATTCAATTGTGGCATCCGAACTTATTAGAAGGTAGCATGTGGCAATTGAGGTCTAGTCAACTCGAGCTCTCAGGCCTCACAAAGTGCTCACCCCAAAGAGCAGAGGTTGTGGCAGAGGTTGCGGGTTATCCTGGGGTTCCAAGTTCTCAAGTGATTAGGTATATTTCTAGACTTTTTTTGTGGTCCTTACAAGGATGACCTAATGATCGAGCCATCACCCACCGGAGTAACCATCTAGAGATATCAGGTTAAAAATTCAGCTACTACACTAGGTGTATGAGTTCGTTAGCTCTAACCTCTATGAGCACAACTACATTGTAACATATATTTCCTCCATCCCAAATAAGTGTCACCTTAGCAAAAAATCACGTTCATTAAGAAATCAACAAACATAATGTGTAGTTTACTAAACTACTCTTGTTATATACTTCTCTTTAAAATTGAACACTATCAATATAAAGGTTTGGTTGAAAAACAAGCTAATTTTTGTCTTGAAATCCCAAGGAAACATTTATTTTGGGACGGAGTGAGTACTTGCGAGATGAACAAGACGCCTCATGTATTAGTTAAGATGTGTTCAAGTTGACTCGAACATTACTTAAGTATATTTCAGATTGATGACTTCATCTATATGATGTTGCTATGCCAACTTCATTAACAAATAGAAGTTAAGTAGAATAAAATCGTTTTAGCGTATAGATGACCAATTCACTTTCTATTTTCTATTTAATCCAAGAATCTTCAGACATGACTATTTCACATTTCTAAAACTAACTTCTGACTTGCAAATAAAAAAATATACTTCCAATGTGTATATATACCCTCAATCAAAATTCAAAAAACACACACCAAATAACATTTCTTTCTTTAGTACTGGAGTTATGATGGCTCAATACAGTTCAATTCTTACTGTAATTGGGCTGATTTGTGTGCTCTTATCATTTACCACTAATGCAACAAAACAGAACAATTCACAAATCTATATTGTTCACTGTCAGTTCCCTGATGGGGAAAGGACTGCCAAATACCAAGATTTAGAAAGCTGGTATCTTTCTTTCTTGCCTACAACAACCTCGGATAGTTCTCGTGAGGCACCACGTTTGATATATTCCTATCGAAATGTCCTAACGGGCTTTGCAGCTAAGTTATCACAAGAAGATATAAAGGAAATGGAAAAAATGGAAGGATTTGTTTCTGCACACCCCGATGAGATACTTAATTTACACACCACACATAGTGTCAATTTCATGGGGTTGCAACAGAACATGGGGTTCTGGAAAGACTCAAATTATGGGAAAGGCGTGATCATAGGAGTTCTAGATACTGGAATTCTTCCTGATCATCCTTCATTTAGCGACGTTGGGATGCCTCCCCCACCTGCTAAGTGGAAAGGAGTTTGTGAGTCCAATTTTACGAACAAGTGTAACAAAAAGCTCATTGGAGCGAGGTCTTACCAACTTGGCAATGGTTCCCCGATAGATGGTAATGGACATGGTACACACACAGCAAGCACAGCTGCAGGAGCCTTTGTGAAAGGTGCTAATGTAAATGGCAATGCTAATGGCACTGCAGTTGGTGTTGCTCCTCTTGCCCATATAGCCATATATAAGGTATGTGGTTCCGATGGCAAGTGTTCTGACAGTGATATTTTAGCTGCCATGGATTCAGCTATAGATGATGGAGTAGATATTCTTTCAATGTCCCTTGGTGGAGGTCCAGTCCCTTTCCATAGTGATAATATTGCTCTCGGGGCGTACAGTGCAACAGA